TGTTCACTGCTCTTGCCTCGCCTCAGCAGTGCAGGGAAATAAGTCCCCTGTGCAGCCAGGGCTCCTGTGTGCCAAAAGGAAGCATCAGTTCAACAACCAATATAGGATAAACGGCTTCTAGATGTGACACTGCCAGCTTGGGCCAGGTGAGCACATACAGATTTGAACGGGCATTTGGAGAACCAGACTTTAAAGTCACTCTTTGCTAATATTCCTTCACCATAGAATCATGGAATGGGTTGGGTTGGAAAGGACTTTAAAGCTCCTCCAGCTCCAACCCCCTGCCATGCGCAGGGACACCTTCCACTAGAGCAGGTTGCTCCAAGCCCCTGTGTCCAACCTGGCCTTGAACACTGCCAGGGATGGGGCAGCCACAGCTTCTCTGGGCACCCTGTGCCAGCGCCTCAGCACCCTCACAGGGAAGAGCTTCTGCCTCAGAGCTCATCTCAGTCTCCCCTCTGGCAGGTTCAAGCCATTCCCCTTGTCCTGTCCCTAAAAGTCCTTGTAAAGTAGTTGTAAAAGTTGTAAAGTGCTCACTGAAGCTGGGTTGTGTTAAGTCCTTTTAACAACCAGGAGCGCTGGGTAATGTGCTCAAGGTCACGTTGCATTAGGGAGAGCTGAAACCTGGCCGAAGCCTCCCAGTTTTGTGTTTAATCCACTCGACAGCTTTGCCCTTTGTCTGGGGATTATTTATTGGGTTTGCTCCCTCCTTCTCCAAACAGTTCCTTGTGCGACTGTTTATTCTTTCCGTCAGTCTCACCAGTCCGTGGCACTTTGTAGCTCCCCAAAACGAGCCCAGAATTGCCGGTATCTCTTGGAGAACGTATTTCCCCAAAGTATTTCTAGTTGTAACTTCGAAGGAGAGAGAAGATTGTTTTGTAACATCAAATAATTCTGTTTCACTGGGAAGCAGGGAGAACAAACAGCGACCATCCGAATTGAACCTGTATGAGGAGCTACACAACTCATAAGGAAATAGAAGGTTGACAGACTAATGTTTCCTAGGAAAAGGTGTTTCTAAATAGTCCCCTATCTTTTTTATATTAAATTAAAGGGTTTAGGGGAAGGCAGCTCTTGTTCTGTCCTTTAAACAACGTACTTGTCAGCCTTTGATGTCTGAGTACGCAGCAGCAGTACAAGGGGGTGATTCCATGGGCAGCCCTGTCTCGTTGCCAGTTCCTACTTTATTCCTTATCTCCTATCTTTGCAAAGCAGCCTCTGTTACACTCCCAGACCAAAGCACTGGTGCTGGATGAAGCAGACCCATGAGCACACAGCTGAGGTGTGTGTGGGGATGCACATGGGACACCCAGGGGTGGGGGTGTCTGGGCAGGAGGCCAGGGCTCTGCTTTGTTTGGATGGCAGAATGACTCCTCGGGCATTGAACCCTTCTGCCAACTCACTCATTGTTTTCCTTCCTTCCTTCCTTCCTTCCTTCC